GGCTAGCTAGCTGGTAAAATAATAAATGACGTGGAATAAATCACAACGGAAGAGATGGGGACGAAACACGTACTACTACTCTTGGTGGTATCATTAATGCATCAAGCTATCAACTATATATTATAATTTTTTTTTTTTTTAAAAAAAAACATCAACGAATGCATTATACCTTATGCCTTTTTGGGTGTAAAAGTAGCTTTATTTTTAATTAGCTATATATATATATATATATATATATATATATATATATATATATATAGGCGGGTTCAGGTGCGGCAGTGTCTTACGGTGCGGTTATTTCTTACGGTGCGGCAACACCAATAGTTCAACAAATATGCACCATCAACGTTAGGAAATACACCACACAAAACAGAGTAAACAGAGCCCTGCATCACCAAACACACACCATTAGGTGTGAGTAAAAACACCATACACTGTTCGGAAATACACCATTGGGGGTGGTGAGTTATATGGTATGTTTTTTTGAGTCTGTGGTGTATTTTGTGATGTTTTATTAAATTTCATTGGGGTGTGTTTTTATTACACTGTTGGTGCATATTGTTAACACTATTGGTGTATTCTGAAATTTGACCGCACCGCCGCACCGTAAGACCCCGCCGCATATGAGCGCTCTTCTATATATATATATATATATATATATATATATATATATATATATATATGATCTATGTTTGTCCATAAAAGGTGATTGATGGATGACTAAAGATATCTGGATTAATATGATTGCTCTTGAGAACTATATACATTCATTTATTGTTGGAATAAAATATCTTTCGGTTGCACTCAACATATTCATGTGTGATTAAAATTTTATTACAAACCAACCCTTCTATACCAATAGACCAATGTGTAATAATGAAGGTAGAGAAAGTGGTGGAGATGCAAGTAAAATTATCACATAAAGTCTAACAATGAGTCAATGACCTATGTCAAATTGTAAAAATTCTTTGCATCGTTGATTATTTTCTTTAATAGTAAGTATATTATATTACAAACATTAACTTTAAGGATATTTTCGTTCTTTTTAACTTAAGATTTTAATTTGATCATAAATAATAGGATTTAATTCTTAAGATCGATCCCAAATATCAGTTTTCTTCCTCATCTTACCTTAATTTGAGGAGGAGAGCTGCGAATTGGGATCGATCTGAAGGATTAAATTCCTTTATTTATGCTCAAATTAAGATCTTAATTTGAAAATGGCGAAAATACCTTTAATAATTCCATATTTCAGCATGTTTTAAACAAATGGCTGACCGGGGCGTGATGAGTTTTGACACAACTAATAATTATGGACGAAAATTGGTACTAAAACAATAGTCTTGGATGAAAATTGATAGGAATTAAACACGTGGAGCTATAAGCTAGTAAATAAGCTCTACCAAACAGACTCTTAAGAGTGCTTCATATCCAAAATTAAAGATTGAATCATTGACCTTTAGTTAAGGATTAATTGAGACTATATTGAATATGAATGAAAATTACTCAACATAAATTAAAGAAATATTGACACACGACTATGAATTATTTTGAAATATAGCACACACTTTCTCTTCCTACCATTGCTTTCTGATTCATAGTCCTAATTAATGCATGCATAGATACGTCTTGTTCTTGCAGGCTGCAACACTACCTAAAAATTAATTTGACTATCATTAACATTGCCATAGCTTAAGTCATTTTTTATGGTTATTTAAATTGTAAGTCTAATTTGGAATTTTATTCACTTTCTATTAGCAAAGAGAACTCGAAATTTACATTATGTGAAATAAATTCAATTTCATATTTCTAATTATTATTTGTGTAAATTCATGGGTACAAGACATTTTTTTTTTGAAACAATATATATTATAATATGGGGCAAGCAAAAAGATATAAATAAAAAGATTAGAAATTAAATGGCAAAGATTGGAGAGGAAGAAAAAAGGCATAGGCGACAAGACATGTTATGCAAATTGCAAAGTTCTATATGGACCATATGGGTTGAAAGCACAATGTGTTAAAAATATAGTAGAGTTTGAGGTTATGATTACAACATGATATACAAGTAATGTTGTTATATAAAAAAAAAAAAAAAAAAAAAAAAAAATTGACGTCCATTTGGAAATTGAATGTTTGGTAGGTGTAGCTTTTTTTTTTTTTTTTTTTTTTTTTAATGCTTGGTAGGTGTAGCTTTAATTTCTTCTTCCTCCCCACCTCCACTTCCCTGGGCTCCTCTATATATCCAAGGTTGGTAGTCTATTAAGTCCTCATCACTCATCACCCCTTTCCAAGGTTGGTAGTCTATCTTTATTGTGAACATTGAAGTCCTTTCCCTGGAGGCTGGTGGGATGCTTTTCTGAATTCTCTGCACCACACTTTGGCCATTAATGTTTGAAGCATTTTTATCTTAACCCTCTCACATGATCTCACTCCACCCAAGCACTGAACACATATACTGCTAAAGCCTTTTTGTAACTCGCCTTTCTCAGCCTCACTTCCCACTCATCACTCATCACTCATCACTCATATCAACAATCAAGCAATGGCTAAAACTGCCGCAACTTTCTCCCATCTCCTCATGCTTCTGTCCTTCCTCTCAGGTATATCATATATGTTGTTATTTTTGAATCTCATTAATTTCCAGGCAGATTTTTTAATTAATAAGTATACTTGCAAGAGATAGGCAGGGGTCCTTTAATTTGTGCTCTTGCTCATTAGTTTTTTTGTTCTTTTGGGGCTTAGCCCTTCCTTATTTCCCAAAAAAAAAAAAAAGTATACTTGCATTGATCCTTGCTTTTGTTGTGTATAGTAGGTGGGACCTTGACACTAAAGAATGAACAGGTACATATTCTTAACTCCGATTTAAAATTTATATGCATGTTCTCTGTTCTCTTTAATGCAAAATGACTGCAACTTGGCAATAAGATGTGGGGTCTGTGTATATATATGTGTAGATTTTAACTATTTTCATTTACACTAATGTCATTTCTAATTGATTTGGTTATATGTGTGCAATATGTAAACTCAGATCCTATTCCCACACCTATTACTTAGAGTGCCGATATTCCCAAAATTATTATCTAGAGTGCTGTATTGCGGTTGTGAAAGGAGCTGGTAAATTATATACAATTTAAAACTATGATTCATTTAAAATGTGTATTATTTTTAAGTAATTAATATTTGATTATTATAAAATGTTGTAGTTTGTTTGGATGGAAATCCACCACCTATCATTTCTCTCCGGGACAATAAATAGGGGAGATTTCACATATAGTGCTTCCAACCAAAAAATTTGGTGCAATATGTGAAATCACCCCTATTTATTTTCCAGTCAGCATTTGATTCATTTCAGGTTAGCTCCACTTAATTTATTGGAATATTTGCATGCTTAATATTAATTTTATTTTTTTGCTAATCTGAATTTGTGGCTTCTTAATAGATGCAAAATACTTTCTCAATGGGTTTGTACAAGGCCATTAAGCATTTGATTCATTTCAGGTTAGCTCCAATTAATTTATTGGTATATTTACATGCTTAATATTAATTTTATTTTTTTACTAATTTTAATTTGTGACTTCTTAATAGGTGCAAAATACTTTGTACAAGGCCATTAAGAATTACTCATCTATTAGGCCAAGAGATATGGCTCTACTACAAACCCAAGCAACGTGCCAAATTCTTTAAGAATAGAACAAGAAGAATATTAACCTTGTAATTTAGTATATTTGGTGCCTATTAGGTTAGTGTGATACACAGTGAAGTGTTCTGAATTGTCTACAATCATACAATGTAAAAAAAATCGTATACTGTTTAGTTTAATACAATAAGCTATTTTGAGAAAATTTTGGTTCAGAATGTAAACTCATCATTAGCAATGTTGTAAGTGAACAATCCAAATGGATTGAAGATCTTAATTTGTATTGACTCTAACAATGTTGGTACGTCAACTACTAACGTTATTTATCATGAAATGTTTAATAATGTGCAGTTTTTAGGTATATATATCGAATACATTGCAAAGTATTTGTTAAAAAAACTTTATTGTTATTCATATTTTTTGTGTAGTTCAAATTAATTTTAAGAAATTGACTATAATAAGTCAACTCATTTTGCATATTTCAATGGTTAAAAATAACTTATTAAATATAATTCGTGCATCCACGAGACAATACTAGTTTATCATAATTACTCTATGGTTAAGAGTTTTAGTAAAGAAAAATATATAGTCAATTTTATAATTATTGAAAATTTTTGTAAAAAAGATTTTTTTAATAATTATTACAAATTTAAAATTTTAATAATGATAAATGATTTTTCATAATGGAGAGTGTGAATGTGTTTAGACTTTTTACATGAGAGATGGTTTCATTTAAATCTTTATATATATATATATATATATATATATATATATATATATATATATGATTGGTTGTGAACTTATAAAATATTTTGAGTCCGCAGGAAACATATTAATTTAATCTGCATGCATAAATGGTTAGGATGACATCAAATCATTAATTTACTTTTGGGAATCACATGCAGTAGATAACTTCAACAGTTAAGCCATGCTAACAAATAATGTAAAAAATGATTGGAGTTAATTTTAAAATTATTACAAAGTTGAAAGTTTTTAATAATTATAAAATTGATTTCACAATATTTTACTTCAACTTTTAGTTATTGATGGAATTAGATCTGTTATCCCTTTTTATTTGAAGGAATTGTTCTTATTTGAATCATTCATATACATACATACATATGTGTGTGTACGCATGTAAATCTAGATTTTTTTTTGAAAGGATGTAATTCTAGATTTGTGTGTATATATATTGCAATAGCGGATAAGATGAATTGAAAGGATATTAGCATTAACTTATGGAATTAAATTTTCATCTTTGTAATAATTACAAAAATATAAATTGAGTTTATATATTTTACATACAATTAGAGTATTAAATTAACGATGCGAGGAGGCATTCAGCAAGCTAAACCACACAATGCGACAACCCGCTGCCACCGTGATGCCAGTAGACGACACGCAACATCTACTAAGGTGCTTTTTCGAGGCCGGCTACAGGCAGCACACAGGAGAGGCGACATATGGAGTTGTGCTTCTCAATCACGATGGTGCTTTCGTGGCGGCCACGGCCGGCACCCTCCCTGGTGCTTTTTCACCTCTTATGACGGAGGCACTTGCGTGTAAGGAAGCCCTCTCATGGCTTAAAGGGCGCGATATAGTGATAGTTGACCTACTTACGGATTGCATGGAGCTGCGAAACATGATACACTCAAGAAGTACAGCAACTCGATCTTATGTTGGGGTCATTGTAGACCAGTGCAGGACATTTATGTCGTTATTTACATATTGTTCTTTAAATTATATTTCTAGAGCTGTCAATATGCATGCTCATACATTAGCTTCGTTAGCTTTCGATCAGGACCAACCTATGTATTGAGACATCGTCCCTCCTGACTCTATTACTATGTTCGTTCATTAATATACCAAGTTGCTTGGCTTTCAAAAAAAGAGTATTAAATTAATGTTGTGGACCGGGTGCATAATCGATTATGCACCGCGCATCAAAACGGCACCGTTTCTTTAATTAAAGAAACGGCGCGCTGTTAGTGTTAATGGAGTAACACTATAGTGTATCTAAACCGACAATGCCTCACGTATTATTTTTATATTATCAAATGAAACTGCAGTTATATCAAAATGATATTGTAGTTGTGGTGAAATGAAACTGCAGTATATATAAAATGAAACTGAATAACATTTCACATATTTGAGTGTATATTGTACAATGAAGCGGTAATTATATCAAAATGATCATGTAGTTGTGTTTTAATGAAACTATAGTGTATATAAAATAAAATTAAATAACATTTTCACATATTTGAATGTATAAATATTGAATGAAACTGTAGTTATATCGAAATGAAACTGTAGTTGTGTTGAACTGAAACTGCAGTGTATACAAAATGAAACTGAAGAACAGAGTTATTTTTTGCGGAATGGTGTGGAACGGCACGAAACGGATTCCGTTTCTTTTCATTAAACAAAACGACGTCGTTTTGATGCGCGGTGCATAATCGATTATGCACTGCGGTGCACGATATAATTTGCCATAATTTTCCCCTTGCAAGACCACAGAGGTGTTGCGTCAGCCCAATCTGCAAGAACCAAGCTAAATTCCAATTGTCATCCAAGCTACTAGGCCCAATTTTATTTTGACCCAATAGCATGAGTAGTGAACAGTTATGGCATGGACCAAGGTTCGCCTTGCAAGGTGGAATCAGGTCAAAATACACAATTTATATATTGAATGTTCATAATTCAAATTGTGAACATTCAATATATAAAATTGTGAACATTCAAAATATAAATTGTGAACATTCAGTATGTAAATTGTGAAAATTCAATATATAAAAATTGTGAACATTTAAAATATAAATTGTGTACCAGGACTATGTGGTCTAATGATATCCGGGTTGGACTTCCATTTGGAAGGTTGTAAGTTCGAGCCTCAGTGGAGGCGTTATTAGCTCTCTGTGTTTCAGTAGGTTGAGAAAGTATACGAACAGATACTACAATGTTATAGAGCTAGTAGCATTCAAAAAAAAAAATATAAATTGTGTGTTTTTGGATTCGGGTCCACCTGCAAGGTGGACTCATGTCCACAAAATAATTTGCCCATAAGTAGTAAGGTCGTATCAACTAGGGAGTGTTAGTGTGGTTTTTTATATGTAAAATCTCCATGATTAGTTGGCATAGTTAGTTGTCAAGATTAGGAAATTAATGAGCTCTGGATCAGCGCCGGATAGCAGGTCAGGACGGAATAGACTTCTTCATCAACAAACTTTGTTCAGACCCTATCTTTGAGGAAGATTAAATCATATGATGCAGCATGAATTGAGGACTCACTTGCTGCACTCTTTGAGATCATGGAGGTTGCATTTTACTACTATAACGTATTTAGCATTTATGCAACACTTTTGATGAATTAAAATTTGTTCCCTCAATTGCTTAAGCTTGTTGTTCAGTGGAGACTGGTTCGCATGAAGAAGGAGACAGCCTGAACGTCAAGTCCATGATGAAACTGTAGTAGGTTCTGGAGTAGTTAGTTACGTTGTTTTTACACTTGTGTGTAATGTACTCTCCTATTGTACTCTTTTTCATTTAGTGGATTTGGGTTGACATGAGTGGCCCCGAAGACGTAGGATTGAGGCTCCGAACTGCGTGAATATATCCTGGTGCACAGTTCCTTTTATTGCTTTATATATTTGTTCATTTTATCTATCTTGAGTAGATCATGGAGCTAGTCCAATTTAATAATGAAATTAAGTTTGTGGTGTTGGAACTTTTAGTTTTTTCGTTGTTTTCTTGCATTCAAGATCCACAAGCTTTTTCAAGGAGAATAACGACAATTTATATCGTGGACTAGCGTTCACATAACATTGTGGACTCTAGATCAAAACAACGTCATTTTATGTTTAAACTTTAACACATGCTTCACAGTAAAAAATAATAATAATAATAATAATAATAATAATAATAATAAAAAATAAAATTTGTAACGCGAACTGAAGGAGAGACCACTTCGGCAAATTATATCATGCACCACGGTGCATGATCAATCATGCACCGCGCGTCTTTTTTTTTTTTAAATGAAAATAAATAGTGTTTATTTCCGCTGTTTCGCACCCTTTTGCAAAAAGTAACTCTGTTATTCAGTGTCATTTTGTATCCACTGCAGTTCCAGTTCAACACAACTACAGTTTCATTCGATATTTATAGACTCAAATATGTGAAAATGTTATTTAATTTTATTTTATATACACTATAGTTTCATTAAAACACAACTACATGATCATTTTGATATAATTACAGCTTCATTGTACAATATACATTCAAATATGTGAAATGTTATTCAGTTTCATTTTATATACACCGTAGTTTCATTTCACTATAACTACAGTATCATTTTGATATAACTGCAGTGTCGGTTTAGATATACTGTAGTGTCAGTTGGTATTTAATACACTAAATAAGCGGACTCCGCGGTGCACCGTTTCTTTACTTAATGAAACGGCGTTGTTTTTTACCGCGGTGCACCGCGGTCTATGATATAAGGACTGGACCACTTCCTGCCCAATCAATACATTATTGAGGAAAATGCTTTAGCCAATCTTCTGCCATGATACTCCACAACCCAGCCCAATTCTAAGTCCAACTAAACCCAATTTATTTTCAAACCAAATCTAAACCCATGCAAGACCAAATAGATGAGGCAAAATATTGTGTGGACGATGCTTCACATAGTTGTGTAGACCATAAATATAAAATATGGAATATATATTTAATATACTTTTAACATAGTTGTATAAACCATAAATATAAAATGTGGAATATATTTTTAATATACTAAAAGTATATTATTTTTGTATTGAATATACATTATTTAATAGTATATAAAATCATGTATTTTCAAATTTCAATACTTCAATAATATACTTCATACACACAAATAATATACTTTTTATTTATGATCCACGCAGTTGTATGGACTGCAGTCCATGTAGTAGTGCTTGAATAAATGAAGCATCAGTCCAATCTATGGAACGTTATGTACTTATTTTGTGAAACTTTTAATTTTTATTTCTAAACTAACTGAGTAAAAATAAAATATTGAGCTTCTAAAATTTGGGGGCCCTCTACAATTTGAGGTCCTGTGCAGTAGCCCAGCTTGCACAGTATAAAATCAGGGCCTGTTTATCCTAATCCTCTCACATGATCTCACTCCACCCAAGCACTGAACACATATACTGCTAAAGCCTTTTTGTAACTCGCCTTTCTCAGCCTCACTTCCCACCTCCACTTCCCTCATCACTCATCACTCATCACTCTCATCAGCAATCAAGCAATGGCTAAAACTGCCACAGCTTTCTCCCATCTCCTCATGCTTCTGTCCTTCCTCTCAGGTATATATATGTTGTTTAATTTTGAATCTCATTAATTTCCATTCACATTTTTTAATTAGTAAGTATACATGCAAGAGATAGGACAGTGGTCCTTTAATTTGTGCTCTTTTTTTTTTTTTAACCAACCAATAACACTTCTCTTTGCAATTTCGAAAGTAATTTGAAAACAAAAAACCTCATGTTTACTATGGAGGCTGAATATGAAAGATATATGCAAGGGGAAAGGGGGATGCTTATTTTGCACCGTGAAACATTTCGCCAACACACTGAGACTCTAAACCAAACTCAGAAAACAAAAACATCATTACCCAGACATGTTGCATCGTGCTCTTGCTGATTAGTTTTTTGGCTTTTTTGTTCTTCTAGGGCTTAGCCCTTCCATGTTTCCCAAAAAAAAAAAAAAAAAAAAAAAAAAAGTATACTTGCATTGATCCGTGCTTTTGTTGTGTATAGTAGGTGGGACCTTGGCACTAAAGAATGAACAGGTACATATTCTTAACTCCGACTTAAAATTTATATGCATGTTCTCTATTCTCTTTAATGCAAAATGAGTGTAACTTGGCAATAAGATGTGGGGTGTGTGTATATATATATGTAGATTTTAACTATTTTCATTTACACTAATGCCATTTCTAATTGATTTGGTTATATGTGTGCAATATGTAAACTCAGATCCACACAGGACCAGTTTTTAGATTTTTGTGGCCTTGTTCAGGTAAATAAATAAGGCCCTATCAAAATTAAAATCTTTAAAACTAATACCGTAATTTTATTATCTAAATATATAACAAAAAAAAAAAAAAATTATCCGTGCATCGCACGCACATTGCACGCGCACTGTACGGATAATTGGACAATTATTTGCTCGGATTCAAGCAAAGATAACATAAAAAAACATAATCGATATTCGATACAACCCATTTCATCAATTACACTATATAATATTCGTTATTATAATTTAAATATTATAACAAATCTTTTCCATGCAACACACAGGTAAAAAGAGACATATTATAGAATAATAATAATAGTAATAATAATAATAGTGTGCACAAGTTTTGAACCTTAGACCTCAAAGTTAAAATATAATAAATACATGTTTCTACCTTTTCTTTATAAAACCTTTTAAGTTTAATTAAAAATTTTTAATTTTTATTTCTAAACTAACTGGGTAAAAAAAAATTATTGAACTTCTAAAATTTGGGGCCCCTCTACAATTTGGGGCCCTGTGCGGTAGCCCAGCTTGCACAGCCCAAAATTCGGGCCTGTTCCCACACCTATTTATTTAATATACTTTAAACATAGTTGTGTAGACGATAAATATAAAATATGGAATATATTTTTAATATACTAAAAGTATATTATTTTTGTATTGAATATACATTATTTAGTAGTAAATAAAATCATGTATTTTCAAATTTCAATACTTCAATAATATACTTTATACACACAAATAATATACTTTTTATTTATG